TCCTATCCCAAAAGCTCTGGGGAAGGAAAATGCCACGCACCATCATCTTCATTTGCTCCCAAGTGAGTGCATGAAGCTCCGCCTCTGGCCTCCGAGCCCAGTGGTCAATCCACCAGTCGGAAGCATTCTCTTTCATCTGGTAAGCTGCGAGGGATACCCGCTAATGGTTAGGGAGGGAAAGTACAGCGAAAATCTTATCAAGTTCTTTGATCCACTCCAGCACCGCTGTGGGGTTCTCAGTCCCCGCAAAGGTTGGTGCATTCATCCTCTGAAACTGGACTATAAGCTGAGTAAGGTCCATGGCCGGAGGGGCCTGGTGATGATGACGAGGCGGGGAAGGAGATGGGGATGGCTGACGGTTACGGTTGTTGCGGGTATTCATAACTCTACATTGAATAGGCCGAACATAGTTTAACACAAAACAAAAGAAAATAATCATAATTACAGAAGTCTAGAGTTCACAAATAAACACTAGAGTTCGATTAAATCAAGGTGGATAGATCCTAAGCCCCAAAAATAACAATTACACCACAAGTAGTTTCATTGCCACAAGTGTATCATTTACATATCAAGTATTTTCATTAATACTTAAATAAAACATACCTTAAGCAGCGCAGAGTGACGGAGAAGAGTGGTCATATTACAAGGTCTAAACATATATTCACATATAAACCAGTCTACAGAAACGAAGACTGGCTCTGATACCAAACTGTAACACCCCACTTTGATTTTAAAGAAATTCCGGACTTTCTAAAAATCAGAACAAATTTTTCGAATTTATTTTCAAATCAAGGGCATTAACCAACACATTTTACTTAGTCCAAGTCTTATCTGGACCCACGGGGATTCATAAACCCAATTTTCACAAGGTTTTCATTAACTTGATTCACACCTCAACATAATATCCAATATGAACAATTGAAACCTCATAAATCAAACACCATAATTATTCAAGGTTCATAAAAGGATTTTCCAAAGTATGCCCAAACATCAAAACATAACATAGTTTGAAAACAGTTTTCACATGTCCAAAACATAGAAAGGTTCATAACAACCATATTATTAAAGCGGAAGCAAAACGAAAAAATAAATAGACCACCACTCGCCCTTTGTCCCGTCACCCGGCCACTGCTTAACCTGCATCCGTGAAGAGCAGGTGGGAATGAGCACAAATGATAAAGTAGTGCTCACTACTATCCACATAATAACATGTAAAGATGGTATGGTCGCAGTATGAATATAAATCAATCATCATCATGTCTCATCTCCTAATAATCACAACAATAACTCACTCATGTGCACATCTATCATCAGCCACGGAAAGGGGATGCACAAACCCTAACGGCGGGAGTGCGTGCCACTGTAACGGACACGACCTTTCATTAGATCTTAAGGAGACTTGCCTCGCAAGGGCAACCGTACCGTAACTCGATGGGGACAACCGTACCGACGGTCGTAACAACTCACATCGGTAGGCCACATAGTTCACATTCATACATTGGTCATACCAGCTAAACATTAAACAACACGTATGGCATAGATAATTTTATAAGTAAACCCACCTGGTTCAGCAAGGAATAGGACACAATCAAGAGTAGGCAGCGAGCACGGCTCGTCAAATACCTACAACAATTAATACACTAAGATCAACACCGAACTTGACCTTAGAGAGCGCACACAATCATACTTGGTCGAACTTGATTCAACCAAGCAGCTCGTGAAGTTCTGTGGACATTGGAACAGTCGGTCCTAACACTTAGACTTGACAAAACGCATAT